ACATACTATTTAAAAAACATTTTGGAAAGTAATGACTAATTTTTATTAACATTTTCATTTTACAATCATCATATTAGACATTTATTTGCAATAGTACATTTTTATTGTATTTGAGCACAGAGGATATAGGTATCTAGTTTATCATATTGTCCTTTAAAGTATGTTAAACTGTATTTCCACTAGTCAATTTAACCACTGTTACAATCTCTTAATTCCATCTGGACAGATTCTTTTTTAAGCCTTTTGTACAATCTCTTTTAGATTTGTCATTACTCAAGAACACATTAATTTAGGTTAAGTACATATACAAAAAGAATGACTTCTTTTTGATGACTCCATTATGACTGTGCCAGAATTCCAAAGTTTCCCAACCCTGGGATATTCCCATACTCCATTTACCTTCTATTCTTCTGACAGTTCTTCTCTTCTTAACTTCACCAGAAAATTCCCTGCACATGTAGATGACTTGACTAGCTCACTTTCAAAGATCTACAAAGTGCCACATATATTTCTGTGTGCTTCCAGTTTTTCAGTATATTGTCCTACACATTCCAAATTATTTAATTATTTTGTTGGTGGTGGTGTCTGTCCACACCTAGCTGTACTCAGGAATTATTCCTGACTCTGTGCTCAGGGATCACTCCTGGCAGGGACCTATGTGGTCATTCAGAGGGTCATATGATGCTGGGGAGTAAACCCAGGTCAGTAACATGAAAGGCAAGCACCATAACTGCTGTACTATCTTTCTGGCCCCTAACACAATTTTTACAACTCTCACTTTTGCCCCTCAATCAACTTTTTTAATTTATTTAAGTTTTATTACCATTCCAATCCTGTAGTGCACCTAGTTAGAAAATCAAACCAAACTTGCTCTTAAAATCCATCTTCTCTCTTGAATACATATCTTGCCTGCTTATCTCTATGATTTTTGCTTTGTTTTTGCACTCTGGAGAAACACATGTTATCTCTTGAATTCATATTTCTCTCTTACTCTCTGCTCATGTCATTCTGAGTAAGTTCCATTCTATTAAAACTATCTTGCTTCACACACCCACACACACATACATATACACACAAAACAAAGCAAACCTATGAAATGTAGAGATGCACTATAATTAGAAATACGTGGGATAGCCTATGGTAACACTCAGCAGTGATCAGTGTACCTCCTAAATATTTGTCAGCTTACTTGAAGCACACAAATTGGCATTTGTCACAAACTCAGTCATGCCAATTTGGAAATTTTTTTTTCATGTGAAGAAGGACTTAATACTCAGAAGACTCATTATGGCAAAAGTTAGGAAGCTGAGTTCCAACTTAATATAAATTCAAAAATAAAACTATCACTGGTAACCATTTCCCTCCTGTTGCGTATGCTCCAGGAGAAGCCAACTCATAATAAAAATCTTTTTTGATAATCTTGAAAATAGAACAAAATTAAATGTTTTATGGCATCAAACTAAGATAGGGACTATTAAATGGGCTAGTACACCATTAATCTTATATACTTATGTGCCATATTGTCAAAGAATAAGCATGTCTGGCTCTTTTAAGTAGAACCCAATCATGGTAAAGCTGACTATATCCCAAGCCTACAGTTTAGAACTGGTAATTACATGTATGCATGTATGTTGAGAATCCTATGAACACATGTATATATATGCTGGGTTCCTATAAATTCATTACAGACTTGTGACTTAAATTGCTGCATGGGAAACATTCTGAAAAGGTTTGGGATGAAAATAATTAATTCAGCTGTAACATGGTTTTTATGGGGAGATAATTCAGTGAATATATTTACCCAGCATTGGATCATATGAATTTAGAGCTCAAGTGATAGCTCTGATCTGAAGATGAACTCTATGTATGTTCATTGCATTCAAATACTGAGTTTATTAACCAAGAAAATGAATTGTAGGGACGGATTATAAAGGGGTGATCTCAGTATTCACAATAGCAGCAGAGGTGTAAAAGTAAACTCATGACCATGGATTGCACTGGAGAAAAATTACACAAATCTGTGCCTCCTGTCATAGAGGGAAGTAACATATGGACTTAAAACATTTTTTCTGAAAATAACAAGTAAGTCATTTTGGTAAAAATTATTTAAGATGTTAGATAGAAAACACATTTTAGTTTACTGGGAAATAAATGAGGTGGAACAGATGAAAAACACAAGTCTAAAAAACTTACTTAAAACACTATCTTTTGTACCAATAATAGTGAAAATCTATAAAGTCAACAAAAATTTCTTTTTCTCATTCTCACAAAAGGATTATAATATTTTAATTATATTTTATTTACCTCAGAACTTTGTCTTTCCATATTATAATGCCTCCTTTCACCTGCAAGTACTGGCAAAGTGATTCAAGTACACTGGGCCATCAAGGAAAATGAGTTTCATGGACAGTGTTAGAAGAAGAAAGGATAATGTAGAAGTAAAAAGGAAGAAAGTAGCGGAATGAATAAATGAGAGATCCCAGTTAACATTACATTTAACTAGGGAAAAGAACTTATGTCAAACCAGGCAACTGCAGAAAGAGACCAGAATTAGGAGTTTAGATATTAGGGCAGATGGTAACCTATAATCTTAGGAAGAAGAGTATTTTAAAAGGGAGGGAAATGGGTCAATATTATCCAATACTGCAGAGAGAAATCCAGAGAGATCTTATAGAATTTCTCCGTGCAACAAGTGATAGCAGAATGACTGAATGAGTCATAATGAAAGAGTGAGACAAATATAATTAGTATTGCTCTCACATCGCTTATATCTGGACAATTGTAAAGTGGGTTAGGATGCTTGCCAGGTTTGATTCCTTGTACCACCTGGTTCCCAATGCCTAGTCAGGAGTGTTCCCCAAGCACAGGGACAGGAGTAAACTCTTAAGTACTACAGATCATGACCCCAAAACAAAAACAAACACAAATATCATTTATTTACAACTCAAATATGAATTTCTCTAAAAAAACTGGAAGAAAATTTTTTTTTCATGGGCACTATGTTTTAAATGTTTCTAAAATATTACATTAAATTCTTTAGATGTTTCTGCAACATGATGAAACATTTAACTTCTGAAAATTTACACAGAAAAAAATGAATTGCATTTACATTTAAAAAGTCTATACATACATGTTGGGAAAGAGAGATAGTAAAGCACTTGTTTTTGACATAGCCATCTCTTGTTTAAATTTCTGGCATTACACATGCTCTCACAATTCCATCAAATACCACCAGGAAGGTTTCTGAGCACAGAACCAGGAGTTAACTTTCAGCAATTTCATGTGTAGCCCAACTCTCTATATCTATATATACAGGTTTAGAGCACATTTATTTAATAAATCTAAGTATTTGTAGTAGAAGGCATCTTTCAGAGGGTGAAATTTTAAACAATTAGTGATATGTCAATGTCATAGAATGTATCACATAATTAAAAAAGATAAAATATTGAATGTGCATCATATTATCCTGAGTAAAATAAGTCACCCTGAATAATATTATTTATTCTATTATTTCATTTATATAACCTTCTTGAACAGACAAAATTTTAAGAGTGCAGAATATATTGGTGGTTCTCTGAGTTTAAAGAAATATTAGGAGTGCAAAAATACTTGAATCAATCTATAAAAGGGTCATCTTAGATGTCCAAATAATACAGAAATGTTCTGTACTTGATTTTCTCATTTTTTCCTGGCTATTGTACTATACTATATCTTGACAGATGCTATACTATTGGAACCTGGATAAAGAGTGCATGAAATCTCTAATATTTGTTTATAACAATTTGTAAACTTAAAATTTTCTCAAAATTAAGTGTAATCGTTTAAATGTCAAAAAGTCAAAAATAGTTCAAAAAGCAGTGGTTTCAAATTCAGATTATGTTAGTCTGCCATATTTTGGCTAATAAAAGTAATTTGATTGAACCTTCAGTAAAAAGTAATTAATATCATCATTCTCATCATCATCACTGATATAAAACACCAAAACCCATATAGAGTGCTTATGATGTACCAGTTATTATTTTAAGCACTGAGTATCTTTTAACACATTTAAGTATCTAAGTCCAAGTAAGTGGATATCACAATCATTTTCTTACATCTAAATATTGAAAAACTGTGGTACAGAAAATAAAAGGAATTCACTTAGAACATAGAACAGCATGGATTTATCCCATGCTACTTTCCACATCACAAAGCAAACCTCTAATATATTCATTGGGATTAGGGATAAAAGTAAAAAAGGAGATCCCAAAATCTCTGGATATCCTTCAAGATTGTATATCAAGCTGTTTCTAACATGTATGCTATCTTTTTATTTTGAGAAATACACTGAATTTATACTTATACTTGAAAGATAATTATAAATATAAAATTTTCAGTCCCTACAGTTCTAAATAATAATTCTTTCTCTTCCCACGCTTGTTTTGACTTCAGACTGTGGAAGGCCTCTTTGCATTTTAAACACAAACTCAAATTCTGTCCTCACTGACTGAGGTCTTAAGGGTTTGTAAATCTCCAAGTCTGATAAATGAAGGAATGTAAGGAAGAGAACCAGGCACACCATGGAAGTGAAGAGTCTTAGAATTTCAGAATCCTGGATTACCAGTGTCTTGGTCAGAAGTAGGGGTTGGCTCAGTAAAGTATTAAAACATACACACACACACACAACACACACTATCACAGGCATACAAGTTGGCAAAAACTCAGTTAGAGAGAGGTACAGACAAAGGAGATCCTATACAAGGTCTGGAGCAGATGTCTCTCTGAGTAACAAGATCTCAATTTCCTTTCAGTAATAATGATACTCCTTTGGGGGTTGTGAAGACAACAGCACATTTACAGGTCTCTGAAGCTGCAGAGCAAAACATGTATTGTTGAGCTGTTTCAGATGGAAGACATGGCCGTTCTTCATGAATATCTGCAGTCAAACTCCAAGTACAAAGTGAAACTGTCTCTTATCATGAATATTCTGCAGTTCAATATCTCACTTCTTTTCTTCATAGATGGATTGAAGACTTTTACCAGATTTCTTAAAACAGAATTCAGTGAAGAAAACATTGAATTTTGGATAGCCTGTGAAGATTTCAAGAAAAGCAAAGACCCTCAGCAAATTCTCCTCAAAGCAAAAACAATATATGAAAAATTTATTCGGAGTGATGCTCCACAAGAGGTAAAGATGACTAGGAAATTTTAGAGCAATTTGAAATTGCATTTCTTTTGGGGATGGGGGGGTGGGCAAGGGCACACCTGGCAGTGCTCCAGGCTTACTCCTGACTGTGCATTCATTGATCTCCCTTAGTGAGCTCAGGGAGAGTTGCCTGGGATAGAACCAGTGTTTGAAACTTTGCAAGAAAAATGCCTTACCATCTTTCTCATGTATCCTCTTTTTGGACCCAGCAGCTTTTTTGTTTTAAGAGAATCTACCTTTAACAAATAGGTTTTACCATACAGTCTGCCAGAAAGGACAGAATTTGGGGAAAACAGTAACAATGGTTATTTATATCGATTTCTAAGTACAAATAAGATGCATTGTAAAATAGTGCCTTGAAAGGAAATGATATTTGAAGTCACTCATTAGGTTTATTTTTATTCTACTGTCTAGACTGAGAGCAAATACTACAAGTCACAACATTTAGCATCATTCATTTATCATGCTAATCACCTTTGCACAAGCACTGTCTCTAGAAATTCAGGATTTATGTAAGTGATGAAGCAAAAAAAATCAAGAATCATGTTCCATGTTAAGGATAGTTCATCTCCCTATACAAAATATTTCTTGCCCTAAAATGATTTTCTCTCACCTCATAGATAAAAATTCCCTGATAAAGTGATGAGGCAAACTTGGTATGAAAATCTTCCGTTGTGATTTCTGATTGCTACTGCTATATAAGATAATTGTCCATAGTAATTGCTAAGCTAGTAGAGAACTAGCAAATATTTTTATGCTGTTCTCAAAAAATCATTTACATATTTTTATTATTTATTAGAATGGTGTTTACCTATAAAGAAACACTGTCCCTGAGATTTCATTGCTTAAGTGTTTATTCATCTCATACAAAATTATTTTTCTTATTTTCTGTATGTTTCAATCTGATATGCGTTTCACTGTGTTATTTTGTTTTCTATAAGATCACTTTATACATGAAAAAAGAGAGCAAGTTGTGCTGACACAAGGAAAAAGAACCTCTTCTCAAAAAGTTATCACCATTTAAACTATTAGCAGTATTTTGACAAAATATTAGCAGTATTTTGAAAAATATATATAGTTTTATATATACACTGATTTATATAGTTTTATAAATACACTGGGCTGGAGTGATAGCCCAGTGGTAGAGCATTTGCCTTGCTTGAAACCAGCCCGGCCGAGCTGGGTTTGATTCCTCCACCCCTCTCAAAGAGCCCAGCAAGCTACTGAGAGTATCTCGCCCGCACGTCAAAGCCTATCAAGTTACTCACGATGTATTCAATATGCCAAACACAGTACCAACAAGTCTCAAAATGGAGATGTTACTGGGCCCGCTCAAGCAAATCGATGAAAAACGGGAGGACAGTGTTTGTTTTGTTTATAAATACACTGGTTTCAGCATACAATGAAAAAAAAATTACAGATGAAACAAGAGCCTCACAGTGAAATGCTGAATATGCCCCTAAGCTCACTGTTTGCACTTACTCGGTGCAATTTTTCTGTGATGTTTCCACTCAGAAAATGAACTAAACCTAATTATTCCCATGGTAATGACTCCGGTTGGTTCCTGGGTAATTTATCTGAGGCAGAAAGGAGAGAGAAATGGCCACTTTCTCCTAATCCACCTCTGCCATTCTGGAACCAGTTGATAGTCTGCAATAAGCCCCTGCACTGCACAGGTCTCAAGTCCCGACATCTCCACTATGTAACTGTCAAGTCACAGCTGAGCTTCTTGTTCGGTGCAGCACAAGAGATAATCCCCACCACCTGGTGGAATGAGTATTTACCTTTACACCTTTCCATTAATTGAAATTAGCTTGGAAAGACCAGAAACACAGGGAGAGAAGAGCAAGATGAAATATCAGCCTGAAGAAAATCATCAGATCCTCTAAACCAGCAACAGGAAACATCCAATATTCATGTGCTCTATGCCCACTTCAACAATGGCTTGATTCTATACTTTTTCTGAAAGGGGTTTTCTTAAGCAGATTGACTATAATCATGCATTTTCAATTACATCCAGGTAAACCTTGATTTCCACACCAAAGAAGTCATTACTAAGAACATCACTCAACCCACGCTTCAATGTTTTGAGGCAGCACAAAGCAGAGTGTATCAGCTTATGGAACAAGACAGCTACACACGGTTTCTGAAATCTGACATCTACTTAGACTTGGTAGAAGGAAGACCACAAAGAGCAACAAATCTTCGAAGAAGATCACGCTCATTTACCTACAATGATTTTCAGGATGTTAAGTCAGATGTTGCCATTTGGTTATAAAGAAAATGAGGTTTGCTAGGAAAATTTCTTCTCATAATATGTTATAGAAAATAGATACTTTTTATAATACATTATGTGAAAAAAATTAAAAGAAAATGAATATTTGAACGAAACATGTGGTATTTACATATATTGTTTTATATATATACTACATAAAACCTTCTACTCGACTGTATTCTATCTATAAACATAGTTATTAATTAAAAGGGTTTAATGAAGTGATAATGATTATTAAGTTAGTAAAGTTAAGGCTAAGCTTCTGAAGACATTGCCAAAGATTTTACCAAATATCTTCCTTGGATATTTTTATAGATATAAACAATGTAATGCTCAGATATCTATATATTTAATCATTTTCTATAATATTGTTTCAATTCTCTCTCTCTTACAAGGAGCATAGACTACATTGGGAATATTTGATCCCTTAGTTTTGGCTCACATTGACTAATGAAAGCAACAAATCATTTCTAGTTAAAAACCAGTCATAAGAACTTTGGGGATGGATTGTTCTCTCAAACCTATGTTCTCCCTTGAACACTTGCTTTTTGAACTACTTGCTTTTCCACTCCGGAGAATCTGTGTTCTCTCTGAACATGTATTTCACTCCTTTATTCAACAAAAATTATCTTGCTTCACACACACACACACACACACACACACACACACACACCCTTTTAGTAGAACACATTTAAACACATTTATCTCTACAGATCTTCGAGTTTCTACTTAGCATAGCTTGATCACTGAGGATGGGAGTCACATTTGGACCCATTCCTGAATGAGCATGGACAAAACTATATAATACACACTTCTGCTGGTCACAGAAACATCGAGAAAGGAGGCACAGATCAGGCTGGGACTGAGTGGAACATCTTATCTGAGGAAACATTTGTTACTGAATAGTCAATGGTCTCTGGTTTTTGAAATGTCCACAAGAGATTTTTCTGAGGACTAACAACAGGTCTTTACTTTCAGACTTTTAAGATTGGAACAAAAAGATAAATTAAGATGATAAAGAAGCAAGAAATCTAATACTCTGCTCCTGCCACACTGACTCATATACAACAGCTGCCACACTGACTCATATACAACAACTGTTCTACTACTAATCATTTTCTCTTCCAAATCTTCAACAATATTTTAATTGTCACTATCACTGGCCTACTGTTGTCCATCAATTTGCTCGAGCGCGCCCTCTCCTCTCTGGAAAGAAAGATGGCGGCCGTACGGGAGCCTTGTGGACAGCAGGTTTGAGCCGGGGGTCGGGGGCGGCAGGGACCTCATGGGAAGGAGGGCGTTCTGGTCCGTCCTTCACGCCCTACCAAGGTCACCAGTTGCCCCCCACGAGCGGCTCTCTGGCACGGCCACAGCCCCAGAGCACAGAAACCAATCTCTTAACTATCTAACTTTTAATAGAAATACTTCCAGGGTAAGTAAAATAGTAGAAATCCAAAACCAAGATATCACTTAATTCTCAAACCCAGCTGTAGAAAGCAAATCATTTCACAACGCTTTTTCAGCATGTCTGAATTTGGGGGGGGGGTCGTAAACTCTAAATAATAATGGTGCATCTTTTATCGAAACAATGAATCTAGTCAAAGTAGATAGAGTGTTAACTAGAACTCATCTGCCTCACAGGAATTGGGAGGAGTGGGAGGTGGGGTTCTATTGGGGTTCGCGGTTAAAAATAAGTATTGGTAAAGGGAAATGTGTTTGATATTTACATGACTGAGACCTAAACCTGAAAGCTCTGTAACTTTTCCCACAGTGATTCAATAAATAAATAAATTATAAAAAAAAAATTTGCTCAAGCGGTCCCAGTAACATTATGCGGCTTGTTAATGTGTTTGGCATATCGAACACATCACGGAAAGCTTGCCAGGCTTTGCTGCAGAGAAATCGAACTCGCTTCGGCCATGTTGGCTGCATGCAAGGCAAACACCCTAATATTTTAATACAACACTGTCCAACAACACTGTCCTCCCGTTGTTGATCAATTTGCTTGCATTTTTTTTTAGACTTGTTGTTACTGTGTTTGGCATGTTGAATATGTCGTGGGTAGCTTGCCAGGTTGGCTGTGTGCAAGGCAAACGCCCTACCCGCGATAGCACAGCAGGTAGGGTGTTTGCCTTGCATGAGGCCAACCCGGCCCACCCAGGTTCTATTCCTCTGCCCCTCTTGGAGAGCCCTGCAAGCTACCGAGAGTATCTCGACCGCACAGCAAAGCCTGGCAAGCTCCCCGTGACATATTCGATATGCCAAACACAGTAGCAACAAGTCTCAGAATGGAGACATTACTGGGCCCGCCTGAGCAAATCGATGAATAATGGGAGGACAGTGACAGTGATAGTCCAAGCTTGCCAGGCTTTGCTGCACAGGCAAGATACTCTCGATAGCTTGCTGGGCTCTCCGAGAGGGGCAGAGGAATTGAACCCAGCTCGGCCAGGCTGACTTTGCGCAAAGCAAATGCCCTACTGCTGTGCTATCGGCTGGAACGTTTATCAGCAGCTGATATTTTAATAATCATACAAATAATTTTGCTAATAAATTTATATGCCTCAACCTTAAGGAGATATTTTAGATTTGTATTGCATGGCCTATGTATATATTTAAAACATTTTATACATTTGACTTTAGCAAATGTTTAGCTGAAATATAAAATATAAAAACTGTAGATTACCTCTATTATATTAAATATGTTAAAACCTTCATTCATACACTTAGTATCTATTTGACTGCTAATATTTTCCATTGATTACTTGTTATCTTCCATATTATTAAATATAGGTACATTTCCTTTCTGAAAATTGTATTAGAATAGAAATAATTGAGAATATATACTGTCACTGTTAAATCAATTCCTAATACTTTATAAATATAAAAATGTATTTCAAAGATCAATTGAAATTAAATTTTAATTTTTCTATGGCTAATATGTATTACCTTTTAAAAGTCCCTAAAAGTTTAATTGCTTTATTGATGAATTAAATTACTACGTTTTTAATTTCCACAGAAAATTCCTGGGTAAATTAAAATAGCATTGTTCTATGATCACAAGTATGTAATTTTTCTTCTGTAATATTTTATAGAAATACTCAAACTTTGATTTAAGTTATGAAACAAGACACTCCAAAATCATACCAGAATTTTTTATTATGTTAATGCCTTCAGAGATCTTGAAATTACAGAGATCATATAGCTGAATTCTGGGGCCAGAGAGATAGTTCAAAGACTAAGGGACTTGTCTTTTATTTTGCCAACCTGGGTTCAGTCCCCAGCAGCACATATGATCCCCTGAGCACTGCCAGGAATGACTCTTGAGCATAGAGCCAGGAGTAAGCACTAAAGAACAATAGGTGTGGCCACCAAACCAAACCAAAAATGATAATAAGCCTAATAGTTTTGCAAAATACAAAAAGACAGAATAAAGTATTAAAGAAGTAAAAGAAGGCAAGAGAAAAAGTGCAGATACTACTGAGCTCTAACTGAAGTAAGAACTTGCAGAAATAGATCATTTACTTGTCACTGAAAACCCAGCAACTGGTTTCCCTCACCACGTGAAAATCCTCAGAAAGGTATCTTCCTGTGCACATTAGCCCACACATTGGGTTAAAGACAAAGGCTTACGGTTGTTCATTTTAATCCTCTGATGAGATTAATTGATCCTACAAAGGACATCTGAAATCTTCTCGAACCTGGGACTTGGCTTTCTTCGTGCAAGTGCCCCAGGTGTCCTCTTGGACCCTGGGACAAAAGGATCCCTGAGCCTCTGCCTCTTCCTCTTTGTCCCCAAGACTGTGCCTGTCTTCTTCCCCACCCAGTCATTACCGGCCGCATATACCAGGTTCCCGTGGGGTCGTGCCCTCTTCAGAATTAGGCGTGTCTTCAGTAGAAGTGGGCATGGTCTGATTTTAGGAGGGCTGCAGGTAGTTTAGTCATACCAAGAAATCTAGTGTAACATCACAGTCCCCATACCTACACATCAACATGAAGAAAAAACGCAAATCCCCACTATGGGGGGAGGACGATGAAAAGAGTCCAGAAGTGTTAGTAGGTGCTACTCACTTAAGGGACCTCTCTGACAAAGAATTCAGATATGAAGTCATGAAGATGTTCAATGAACTCAATGAAACAGTCATACAGATATCCAGTATATTGAGGAGGACATGAAAGAAACAATGGATCAGACAATAGAGAAAATCCATGAAGAAATGAGAGCAGAAATTGTAAAACTAACCACAGAAATGTCATGAATTAAAGATTCCATAGATAAAATAAAAAACAAAGTCTGGGCTCTCAACAATAGAACGACCGCAGCTGAAGACAGAATCAGTGAGCTGGAAGATCAGTTGCACCAAGCCAACAGGCGACAACAAACAATGGCAAGGGACCTCAAAACAGCTCTAGAGCTAATCAGAGTCCAAGAAGATGATTCCAAGAGGAACGATATTAGAATCATTGGAGTACCAGAAGCTCAGGGAAACAATTCCAATGAAAAAGCCACAACTAAACAAATCATTGCTGAAAAATTCACAGAGCTTGACATTGCAGCCATTCAGATTCAAGGAGTCTGAAAGGTTCCAGCTAAAAGAGACCCGAACAAAAACACTCCAAGACATATCATAGTTAGAATGATTAATGCTGCCAATAGAGACACAATACTACAAGCACGAAGCTTAAAGAAGGAAATCACGTACAAAGGAGCACTCCTTAGCATCTATCAGAGGAAACCCTCTAAGCCCGAAGGCAATGGTGGGATATAGCAAAAAAACTCACTGAAAGGAACACTTCACCAAGAATACTCTATCTGACTTAACTATCACTCAAACTTGAAGGAACAGTACACTATTTTCTGAATAAACAGCAGCTCAGGAACTTCATAGACTCAAAACCAAATCTAAAAGAAGGGCTAAAGGTGCTACTATAAGACAAGACAAACCCTACAAGAACAACAGACCCTTACAAAAAGATGACACAAAACCCCATAACGATAAACTCTC